GTCACTTTTTTATGTTTGATCACAGAACTGTTATTTTTTACTACACCTTATTTTTTCACAAAATGCCCATGTTAATTAATTAATCAGATTTTTATAACTTATTGGAATATTAAGCAGAATTAAATAAAACCCGATTTCAAATTTATATGATAATTTGTTTCAAGGTTATGAGCATTTTTATGCAGCTGCTTTTGGTTCACTGCTTAAAAAAATAACAAATTTCGGAAATCTTAAATTTTTTAGAAATAAGTCAGTATTGTTTCTTTTGTAATTTTAATGCTGAATCGAATAAAATCAATTACAAATAAAGCATTTATTGTTTGAAAGTTATATGCATTTGTTCGAATTTCGCCTTGTGAGATATGTTTTGATGTTTAAACAAATGATGGTAGCAGCCACATTATCCAAAATGTAATTTAAATTGAGAAGATCCAGGGTCTTGAAACTCGCGGAATTCCACAAATTAATGGAAGAATAAAATGCCTGGGCCTGCTTCATCCCTTGATCTCAGTGACGCGGAATGTTTATGAAGAATAATGAAAAATAAACTTGAAAAAGCAAGAAAGAAGACAGTTAAAGAATTAAAGAAAGGAAATATGGAATAAAACAACATTCGATGCTCTCAAGTCTCTTGTTGAATTTGTGCCAAGGTTGAAATGGTTATTAATGCTAAAAGAGAAAGTAATCACAACTGAATTATCTGTATAATGTAATGAATTATTTGTATAATTGAAATGCATTTTAATTTCCGACTTTTATTTAGTTAAAAAAGGCACTTTATGAAAATTTCAAGCTCTTTGGTTCCATACTGTATTTGTCACCCCTTTAAGAGTTGACACTTGGGAATATGTTATAATAAAATTTAATTCACCATAATTCAAAACCTGGTAGTATAATTTAAGTAATAAGTTATTTACAACAAATCCATACTTTCCTCACTTTCAAACAACAAAACATTTGGCATCAATTCAAATCATCATCAATTTTCAATTAATAACTAAGCATGAGGTACAATAGATGGAAACATTTTGTCGGTTTTTTTGTTGTCTGTTTTGATGTTAGTGGAAACATAAAACACCTTATTCGATTTAAATTGATGACACAAAATGACATTCTGTTGGAAAAAGATTATATAGAATTAACATATTCTATGTAAAAAATTCCTACTTGTTTCTTTCTAGTTTAAAAATAAATTAAAATAGCAAGTGCATAATGTGGCAGTATTAAATGCTCCAGAAATAAAACAATGTATTATATTGTTGGAAGACAAGGAAATTCATGGAAAATTCAATGCTAAAGAATACTGGATTATTAACCAATAATGAATCGGATAATTGCCCAAGAATCTTCGTGTGCAAGTTTTTAGAAAATTCCAGAATCGATTCAAATAACAATAAAGCAAATGATACATCTAGAATTTATAAATGAAAAGTTTCTTACGGTTGTACCACATATAAAACACAGCAGATAGAAAAAACATTTTTTGCCCTCATAGATTCAATAACCATGATATATTCATGTTATATTTGCTTTATGGAGACATATAACAGTACCTAAAAATGTGTCTCTCATTAATTTGAATTGCGTTGTGAATTTGAATAATTAGTTAGTGGAGAAAAATAATCAATATTCCTTGATAATTACTCATCACTATCGAACCGTTTCATTAATTTAATTATGAAATTAATTAAGAAAAAATTAGAATTAACAATTTACTATTCTAGTTCAAGTCTAAATCAACACGTGTGGATCGACACGTGCTTCACTAATACTTAAATCTAATTGCATCTAGGCTTAGATTTCTTAATAAAATTATTTATCTTGATTTAATATTTTATTATTTTTATGCAATCAAAGTAATTCAAGCATTTTCCTCCAAACAAATTATTTAAGCTAATCTGAAATCAGGTTCGAGCCTGTCAGGAAAATATTTAAATATATAACTAAAAGCTACTAAAATCACAATAACTGCCTAAAGTGAATCAATTAATAACTGCTAATAAATGAGAGTTAAGTTTATATAAAATTACAATATTTATTGAAAATCATATTAATCATGTTCAGCTCAAACAATTAAGTATAACATTACTCATGTGGTTTAACATTCTAAAACAATTAAGTATAACATTCCTCATGTGGTTTAACATTCTAATTTAAACATGACAATGAAAATCATTACTAATCATTTTAATACAATAAAAAAAGATTCTCTGGAGCAGGGAAAGATAAAAAAAAAT